AAAAACATATTTGTTCGGAATTCATACAGTTTATTTGGTCAAATAATAAGCTGGAAAAATTTAAAAAAATATAATTATGCTAAAAAGTACCGTGCTTTCCTTATGCCATTAAATGATCGTTGGCCAGAAGTGGCCGTTGATTTGCAGTTTTTCCCGTATAATTTACGAAAAGGGCTAATTTTTAATGTTGTTAAGATTGAGAACCCCGAAAAAATATGTACTAAAAAAATTTTTTTTCTCTTATCTCACAACTTTATTACCAGAGCAACAAAGTCCTGGAGCTTAATCTCTACATTTTTTATTGCCACAAAAATACAAACATATGTTCTTCTTATTTTAAAACCTGAATTTAGATCTTTAAAGATTTAAGAGATTGCTGTCAGGGTAAAATAAATAATTAATCTCTCACGTAATGGATTCTTGATTTGTCGATTTTAAGGCTGCCGTTCCCATCTCGATAAATTTTCTGCGTCAGTTTCTTGACGCATAAAATTTTATTCATTAGATACATTTAAAGTTTTCCTTCCAATTCACCCTATTGCGACTTTTGTGACCCCTAAAGGCTATTTTCTGTCAATTTTGTTAAGTTCTAATATATTTGTTGGTAAGGTAGTTCGACGTCCGATTGCCCTTAAAAAGACCGGTGAGTTTTTTTTTAGTAAACTCTTTCTTGACTAAAGTTTACAGCAAATGTGACTACCTGGATACCTCAAGGTGATCTTCTCTGGCCTGCTGTTGAAGACCCAGACGAATCGGAAGAAAAATTACTAAGTTCAAAGCTTCGAAGCTAGTTGTAGAGATCTTTCCCAACGTCTCCTGGTATGACGTCGAAGACGTTGGTGTCTAAAGCACCTTTTTTTTGCAGACTCAGTTGATGATCTAAGGTGGAGAGATTAGTAGAGATTGGTTCGTGATGCTTTCTCGTTGGAGACTCACGTTGGTTCACGTTTTTTTTCCCTTCATAGCTGTTAGGTACGCCCAGCGCAGACCTTGGAGAGGATCGGTGATTCCTGGTTACATGCTTAGAGTCGAGGGGGTAATATAGGGTCGTCGGTTACCGGGGTTCCCATCCTTGCGACGAACAACTCTGCTCGTGACGTCTGCCAGTGAATGACTGACTTGGTTTAATAGTGGCCGGCTTTATGTAGTGTTTTAGTCGACGAATAATGTTTCCGGAAATGCTAGTAAGAATGTATTTGTTGGCACGGTAGTTTAAACTTAGGGGGCCCTTAAAACAACCGATGAGATTGAAGGTTAAGTAATGAACGTAAATACTTACATTGGCCCTGAAAAAGGCCAGTGATGAAATTTCTAGTTATTTCTTATTATTATGCTTGATGATGGAGAACCAGTTGTGGGTAGCTTGACTCTTACCCTCGGAGTCTCTGATGTGTACGGAGACCGTACATGAGGGAGACATACGCCGCTGATCAAAATATATCTCGTCTTCAGGTCGTTGCCCGGATAACCACCGCTCATCGTTAGTCGGGAAAGTGGGAGCAGGAGAATACCTTCTATGTAGGTATGCCGTTGGAACGACCACTAAGAAGTTGGCAGTTGTGGCTGCCCGTACTCTTTAGAGCTGTCTTCCCTGGCTTATATTTGTAGTAAAAATTCTGACTGCACCAGGCCAGATTGTGGTACTGCCATATAACTCTGAAGTGTCGGAGCAGGATGTGATCTGGTTTGACACGTCGCCTGGTATTCTGCCGAAGACGTTATGGGTTAGAATAAATTTCTCATCAGTGGCACTCATCAATTCTGAAGGTTCCAGGTGAAAGTGAAGACCTAGATCACTTCCCCTTCGGAGAAAAGCGTCATCGGTAACCGGGATACCAAGCTGCACGTCTCCAGCGACATTGTCGATGAACTGGCAGTCGACGATTGAAGAAAAAACTTCGACGCTCTGGCCTATTATAACCACACTTATTTTATTCTGTTGCAGGTAGCTTCGATTTTACGTCGACACCGCCTAGCGGATCCTACTGAACTAATGTGAAAAGCTGTCGTATTTTTGCAAAACTTTGAGCTTATTTATTGCTATTGTTATTGAATTTTTCAAGATAAAAACCATACTAAAACCATCTAGGAAGTGTCAAGAATTGGTATGCAAAATTTCAGCAAAATCGGTTCAGTAGTTTTCGAGGTTAGCGATTACAACAGTTTTAGCGACATTGCTTTATATATTAGTAAGATATGTAAAAATACCCTGGCCAGATCCTGATCATAGCTTGCGGCCAACCTCATTAGACTGTGTGATAAACTCTACATTCAAGCCTGCCCAGGCCCTGACATCGATGTAAGGCTTGCCTGGCCGGGCCCTGGTTTTAGCCTTTGGATCACATTCTTGTCAGGATACTAAAAAGTATCCGCCAGGTGCCATGTTCCTGGTAGTACAGTCTGCGAAAACCTAAATGTTAACGTACATTAATATACGAAATTGTAACTGACATGGTTAGTACTTCTTAAGCTGAAAATTGAGTATAGAACACATTCGATCAAAACGAAATTAGCTTCATACACTCATTCATTAGTCAAGGGAAATGTAAGCAAACAAAAATATTTACAAGAACTAATTTTGCTATTTGCAGTTTTGCGCTGTGCATCTTTCCACCATGTTCTTAGTAGTACAAAATGGCAGATGCGCTCTAAGAAATCTAAGGGCTCGGGCACATGGAACCGCGTAAAGCGTAAAGCGTATCGCACATCGCGTAAAATTATAGGATCAGGGAAAGTTAGGTAAAGTACGCTTTACGCGAAAAAATTCGTCATCGTGCATATGGGAGTAAAAAATAGGCTCGTAAGTGTTTTTAAACCAATCATAGCTAATATTTCGTTGGCTTTGCACATGCTATCTCGCTCGCACTCATGACAAAAATAAAGTTACGCCCGTATTTTTGTATCCTTGTGCATGATGACGAATTTTTTGCGTAAAGCGTAAATGAAGTATGCAACCTGTCAATATAGTCAGCAGCTAATGTCAACAATAAAAATTATGGTAACAATTGTATAAATAATCGAATTTCTGACATGGATGAAAAAAAAATCATAAGAACCCGTTGTTAAAACCTGTTTTTCACCTTTTATCACTAAAAAAATAGAATTTTTTAAACGATTGGCAGCCACAAGCACAATCAAAACAAGCATTATAAAGTAAACTATAGTTACTTCTAAACAGCTGCTTCCCAATGTTAACAACTTCTTTAACATTGATATTAATACTGCTTAAACAATCGTGTTGTTTTGTATCGTAGTTTCCAACTGGGAACATCCATTTACAGTAACCGCAAGAAAAATGTAAAGTAAAGGCCATGGCAATTACAAATACTTAAAAACTTTTTTTTTGACGTGTACAGGTTAGAATTCACTTGCGTTAAGAACTTCGGAAGCTTTTTTTCTTGACAAGACAGCAGATTGGTCAACTCCCCTCTACTTCGAACTTACGCGATACGCGAGGCTTTTACGCCTTTTCTATGTGACCACAAAGTGGCGTATACCTATAATCTTCCTTACTTTTACGCGATACGCGATACGCTTTACGCGGTTCCATGTGCCCGAGCCCTAAGACTAAGACACAGTACCTATTAAGAGTGTCGCAACTGTGTAAAATGTGGTACTTACAGCTATGCATTCTCGACATCTGTCTGCTAGGAGAAACACAGAAAACGAGTGGACCTATACTAGATTTGTTGGACTGGATCACGGTGTAATGAGATACAGAGGTGGTCCCATGATGGCATAATTTTTGTGAAATATTTGTGCTGTTTCATTTAAGTTCTAGCAGATGGCGAATGAGAGTCGAATACCACATATAGTTTCATTACTAGTGCTATTCGCTATGCGCCTATGTCAGATGGCTTCGTCGAGTGAGATAGTGTTCCTTGCTCAGATAGCTAGAATGCTATTGAGAGCGGATTGACCAAATGAATTAGTAATTTGAGCGTGTATTATGTTAGTTTGGTGTTTCGTGTGTATACTACTAGATTGGAAAAAATAAAACATAGCTGCAACTGTTATAACCCAGCATATACAAGTGCATATACATGTTTGTACTAGTGTGGAGCTTGAGAAACACAAGTATTGCTTACATTTGTCTATTTTTCATAACATAGTGTTTAATAAACGTAAATACTAATGACAGGTTAGGTTAACTTTTATATATTTATATTACGTTTCCGTAGACTACTTGTTTCCTTTAAGCGTTACACAAGTGCAAGCATATCTATATGCACTTACACATGTTGTGTTAGCATTGTGGTGATTCATTCTTTTATTTTTTCCAATCTTGTAGTACACATGACAACATCAAACAGAATTAATAACTATGTAGACTAACACCATTCACACTTAAATCACTGATTCATTTGGCCAATTCACTCTTAAAAACCTTTTTTTGTTAATTTATTAAAAAATTTTCCTACAAGGCTCCATGCATTTTGGCCATCTCGGTGAGGGACAATTTCTCTTACTCGACGGCGCACAGTGGGGCAAATCGCCAAAAAGCTGGCCAAAATTCAATTTTTCAAGTTCCGAATTTGCCATTTTTTGTGATGTTTACTTCCTCTTGATACTCAAGAGCATATAAATCAGCAATATTCATGATCCAAAAAAATTTGGTCTTAAACGTACGCAGTTTCCAAGTAAGTAAATTTTGCTTTTTCCGAATTTTTTCGATTTTTTGTGTGATTTTTGTTTCTTAAATTGATTGATTGTAAAATTTTTTGGTTAGATTTAGCCACTAATTTTTTATATTATTATATATGATATAAAGAGTCAATTTTTATTGACTTATTAAAATAAATTAATCTTAAGGTTATCAATTTTATTTTCAAAAAATGGTATATTTATGCAAATATTTAAAGAAAACGTAAAAAGTTGAAAAGATTTTTCTTAAGCTTTCACGAGCTCTCTAGCGATTTCATATACCTGAACATACCTAGAAAGTCAATCCATCAAAAAATTTTGTCCATATTTGCCCTTCTTTAAATAGAATCAAAAATCATTTCTTAAGTAAGCGCAATAGCCTGAGGGCTAAGTATTTTCTGGTGTACGACCAGTCTGCATCGGATAAATGAAGGTTTTTTTGGAATTTTTTTTAGTGCATATTTTTATGGAGAATCCGAACTTACTATTTACTATTTGTTTAGAGTGGTGCAATTTCTCTAAAACGGAATAGTTTAAACAATTATAAAAGTATTCGAAAAGTCGAAATTTTGGTTTCAAACATTTTTTTTCTCTGAATCTGGCATATTTTAAGAAAAAAAGTCTCTGGTAATTTTTTCGTAAAAAGCTTTTTAAAAAAGTTATATATTTTTGAAGTCCCCAAATCGGGCTTTTTCATCAACTGTAATTGTCAATGTCTTTAGATAAAAGCATTTTACAGAAAAGTATCTAGAGAACATTTCTACTTCAAATGGATTAATAAATTAGAAACATAAGTTTTTTCAAATATAAGTAACACTTTTCAATATTTGATAAAATAATTGTCTTTTTTTAAACAATCACGTACCTAAACTGACACCACGCTACTAGGTATTACCGTCTAACTTAAGATTTCGCGCTGTTCGATTAGATTAGAACTAGCAAATGTAAGATGCATAGTGTAAAGAAAGAAATCTATCAATAATCTACTATAATAATATTGTTATAAGTAAAGTAATATTGTCTTGTCCGTTGTAAATTTTCCGCGCGTATATATACAATTTAACGATGAATAAAATAAAACGGTCTGAACTCCATTATGCTTACCTGAAGATCACTGACCGAAAAAAAAATCGAAATTATACAAAATTTAATAGATAAATTCAATGTTTCTAAGGATTGGTTAACAAGAAAAACTCTTCAAGATAAACTAAACTCAAGACTTTACAACAAATACAGTGAAAAATGGAATGTATTAAAACGTAATAATGATTGATTTTTGTGAAAGAGCAAGACTGGTTAAATATTATGAAATAGATTTTACATTCAACAGCCACCCACGTAAGTTTAATTCAGTCTTTAAATACAAAACGCAATATTATCATGATTAAGTCATAGAAAAAGAAGAAAATGAAAGTCATTTGGCGTAAGTTTTGATTGTAGTAAAAGACGGAAAACAGAATCTCTTCGTAGTTCAAACAGTGTAAATCGTTCACAACTGCAGCATCAATGGCCTTACGTTCTGATGAAAATAACCCTGCTGCAAAACAATTAAAGGAAACCACAGAAGGCTCTCCAAATCTAAAAAAATATCATTAAAGGGTCAAGGGGGTAGTTTTTTGTATGTTTGATATAAAATTCGTTATCAGCGACCTCAAAATCTTGAAAATGGTATGCAACTTGGTAACTTTGTAAATTATGTGGTATTTCATGCAAGGTGGTTCTTGAGGGGTGAAAGGGGTAGATTTTTGTATGTTTAAAATAAAATTCGTAATCAGCGACCCTAAAAACCTTAATAATGGTATACAACATGGTAAAATAAAACAACATAGGCCCATGTGCATGTTTACATGACCAAACCAATCAGAGAAGGAGCCTGTATGACGTCATAATCAGCGCTAAATTCAAATTGTATATGTATAAATGAGCAGCAAGCAACAAAGTGTTTTTGTTATTTATTGAGAAGGTGAGTCTTAATGGTCACTGTTACTTAAAAATAAGAAGTATAACGTCGGACTTGTAAAAATGACTGACCGGTTCAAAAATTTTTTTTAACTATAAGTTATTAGTTACGAAAGAGAATTGTATTAACTCATCAAAAAAATTTCAAAACTTATTGAAAACACTAAGTTATCTGATTTTTTGTTAAGATATAAAAAATTTTGCTAACATTGAAAAATTTTTTTATTGCACATGAACTAATTATTACAAGTTAACTGCATTTTTTGAATTAGTATCATACATTTGCTTTATAATCAGTCTAGTCAGTTTATGTACGGGTTTTTATCATGATACTCCATTTAATTCGCTGTCATTAACATGATTAAATATTTAGAAAAAAATACATATTTAAATTTGGTACCCAATAATGACGTCATGCAGGCTCCTGCGCAAACTTGAACAAAAATTGTCTGGCTAGTAAGCCTACCTTGTTTTATTGCATCATCTCAGTTAAAAATTTATAGCTATAATTATACCTATAAATTATAGCTATTATTATACCTATAAATTATAGCTACAATTATAGCTATAACTACCTCTAAAACAGCTATAATAATAGCAAGGCGTATGCGTTAGCACACACTAGGCTCAGATAGGGTGATTGGGAAGACACAATAAAACACAATAAAATTAAACAGCATAAAAATAACAACGTTTAATATTACTCAAAGGCCAAGAAAAATCACAGTTAATATTCACAAAAATAGTAAAGGTTAAATAATACAGGAGAAAAGAAATAATGTCTATAGTTTTAAAGCAATGAACTATCGAAATATATAAAAGCGAAGAATGTAGAAAGAAAAGAGTCAAGTTGAATAACCCAATATGTAAACACGCACTGGCCTTGAGCTCGCAAGAGAGTTTGAAAGTTACACGAATAAATGTGAAAATGAAAGCACTGATATAATATAACTGATTGAAATCTTGATTAACTAAAAACGACTGTCTGTAGAAATACACAATTACTGTCTGTAGAAATACACAAGAGTTTCACTGAATCTTGCTGTTGATAATCACTGGTAGTTCGATGAGATTAACTATTTGAGCTGGTCTGCAGATTATGCAGTGAGCAACTTAAACAAAGCACTAAGTGCACTGCACTGCACAACTGAGTTTTGTCCACTGTATTGAGAGAGCTAATCAAAAGATTTACACTAGCATTTAAGGTGATGTATGCACCTTTGAATGCTAGAGTTTGGCAACGTAAATTGAGAGAGTCTATCTTCGACGAGAGCTGAGTATAATCTGGCGCTTACAGTATACAAAGCTCGCCGCGTGAATACGCACACACACACCTGCAGCGCGCCAAGTCGACCAAGCGCACACGCACAGAGCGTTGAGCCGACAGAGACTACAAGTGTACACAATGTACACAAAAGCCGGGCCTACTGTCGGTCGCTCTCATTCCAACATTCCGCCCGCCGTCAGTCAACGGCTGACAACAGCCGTAGACCGGCAGTGGCACCAACTTGTGAATTGGTCTCCTGAGCGCGCCCACTGAGGTCTTGAGAGTCACCACTCTAACCAGGCCATCCTTGCCTGGGTGGACATCGACGACTCTGGCCAGCGGCCACTTTCCTGGTGGTAGAGTCTCACTAGTTATAAGCACCAATGAGCCTGTCTTGATGTCATGAGCTGGAGTATGCCACTTGGAGATTGAGTTTAATCTAAGCAAGTACTGTGTAGACCACTGCTTCCAAAACCTTTGTTTTTGAGCTTGGATCAGCTGCCAGCGAGTGAGCCTTGCTGGAGGTAAATCCAACAAGCACGGCTGTGGTGGTGAGTTTAGCGCCGATCCGACTAAGAAGTGTCCTGGAGTGAGCGTGTCTAAATCCTCTGGATCATTGGTAAGTGGTTCTAGTGGTCTAGAGTTAAGTATTGCTTCGATTTGAGTAAGCAACGTCGTGATCTCTTCAAGCGTGTAAAGAGTCTCTCCCATAGTCCGATGGAGATGGTGTTTCATCGACTTCACTACTGCCTCCCATTTTCCTCCCATGTGAGGAGCAGCTGGAGGGTTGAAGTGCCATGACGTTCCATCTTGGGCGAGCATGGCTGATAGATGAGAATTTTGACTGATTGCTTCTGAGTATAACTGTTGAAGAGCCCTGTCTGCACCAGCGAAGTTCGTCCCACAATCAGAATACAACTTAAATGGACGTCCCCGACGTGAGACAAATCGCCAATACGCTGACAAGAATCCTTCGGTAGAGTAATCTGTCACTGCTTCGAGATGCACAGCAGAGGTCGAAAAACACACGAACACACACATCCAACCCTTGTATGTCTTCGATCCTCTGCCGCGCCAAGATTTGAGATGTATCGGACCTGCGTAGTCGATACCTGTGTGAGCAAACGGTCTGGAGGGAGTCACCCTGGCCTTGGATAACTGTCCCATGAGTTGTTGTGCTCTTTGTGCCTGGTACCTGGCACATTTGACACAGTAGAGGATTCTGGATCGGATGGGGGCCCTTCCACCGATTATCCAAAACTCTTGACGAGTTTTGCTAAGAGTGAGCTGAGTTCCTCCATGTAGAGTTTGCCGATGAGCCTGATCGATAACCAAACTGGTGAATTGAGCTTGACGAGGAAGTAGGGCAGGGTGTTTTGCATCAGGTCTGAGCCCGGCATTCATGAGTCTGCCTCCCACACGCAGTATTCCAGCATCATCAGTATATGCCATCAACCGGTGGAAAACATGGTCCTTTGGGAGAGAACCTGATTTGAGCATCTTGATTTCCTCCTTGAAACATTCCTGTTGAGTTAATCTGATGAGTAAGAGCTTAGCTTGAGTGATGAGTTCTGCAGTGACAGCTACGGATGATTCCTGGTGTGTGAGTAAGGCTTTGAACTTGGCACAAGCAAGTAAGAGGGTGGCTGTGATACGATAGAGTTTGTGCAATGTGGAGCTGGACTGAGTGAGCCTGAGCAGGAACTCCTGAGTCCGAGACTGATGACACCAATGCTGCCATCCTGGGGTTGTATCATCCACTCTGGTCCATGCCACCAGAGCCTATGCTCAATCAATTGTGAAGTGAGAATCCCTCTAGAAGCACAGTCAGAAGGATTCTCCTTTCCAGGGACATGTCTCCAATGTGCTGCAGGGACCAAATCCCGAATCGCTGCAACTCGATTCCTGACGAAATCCTTCCACTTATTTGGATGAGAAGAAATCCAATAGAGTGTGACTGACGAATCTGTCCATAAGTGAATGTTGCTGATATGGAGTGTGAGTTGGTCGGTGACATACTTAGTGAGTTTAGCCAGGATGAGAGCTGCTGTTAACTCTAACCTTGGTATTGACATCCTCTTCAGTGGTGATACTTTCGTCTTGGAGCAGACGAATGAGCTTGACGTGGCTGAGTCTAACTTTATCACCAGATAAATCACAGCACCCATAGCATCCTGAGACGCATCAGCAAAGCCATGGAGTTCCACTGTAGAAGAAGGATGTGCTCCAAGCCATCTAGGAACTGTCACTCCGGAGAGTTTGGCTAGATCATCTCGTATTTGTAGCCACCTCTGAGCGAGAGCATCTGGTATGGGTGTATCTCATGTAATTTTGAGTAGCCACAATTCCTGAATGATGAGTTTGGCTGCAACAATCACTGGAGCAACTATTCCAAGAGGATCGAAGATTTGAGATATTTCTGAAAGAATTGTTCTCTTCGTTGAAGTTTGACTGAGAGGCTTGAGTGTGTACTAAAAGGTGAGATTGTCTGAAAGTGGTTTCCAAACCATTCCGAGTACTTTAGCATTGCAGTCATCGAAAGAGAGAGTGCTAATTCTTCACTGGAGTTTGAGTAACTGAATCCTGGCGAGTTTGAGTGCCACTTAGCCAGGGGCAATCCGCCCGCCATGCACAGCTCCTTGAGTTGGAGGGCCTGCTCGTTCAACTCATCTGGAGTCTCCGCTCCACCAAAAATGTCGTCCACATATCTGCCGCTGGTGAGAATCCGGGCCGCCTGGGGGTAACGGTGCCCTTCATCCTTCACCAGCTGCAGCAGTGAGCGTGTGGCCAGAAATGGAGTAGGCCTCGTCCCGTAGGTCACTGTGGTGAGCTGGAAGTGATCTTCCTCGTGAGTTTTGCTATGCCAGATGATTCGCTGAAGATCCCAATCGTCTGGATGAACCTTGATCTGACGATACATCTTGGAGATGTCCGCAGAGAAAGTCCATTTGAATGTGCGTAACCAGAAGAGTATATCTGTTATGTTGGGCAGTAGATTAGGTCCCGTGTGAGTTATGCTGTTGAGTGAATGTCCAGAGGAAGTAAGGGCTGATCCATTGAAAACCACCCTGATTTTGGCGTTGTCTCCATCTTTCTTCAATACGCCGTGATGAGGCAGATAAAAATGAGGCTTGATGTTGAGCTCATCTGCAGGCACCGGTCGCATATGGCCAAGACTCAAATATTCATTCATGAAATCTGTATAGAGCTTGTCGTACTTGTCGTCTGTTTTGAGCCTGGCCACCGTGCGATCGAAGCATTTACGAGCACGGTTGACTGAGTTGCCCAGCAGAGATGGAGATTGCTTCAGAGGAAGTTTCACCACATATCTTCCGGTGCTATCCCGAGAGTGAGTTCGCACGAAGTGTTCCTCACACTCCTGTTCCTCTGGTGTAAGCTGCGAGCTTGACTTTGAAGGGACCTCTTCTTGAATCCAGAAGTTGATGAGTAATTCCTGAAGTTTATCTTCTATTTTTGAAACGATATGATGAGTGTGACGATTAATCTTTGTAACAGACTGGTTAATGCAACCCAATAAAATCCAACCAAACAGTATACGTTGAGCGATAGGTTCTGATAAAGAACCTCTGAGCATATCTGAGGTGATTATAGCTGAATAGTAGTCAGTGTAAAGTAGCAAGTCTATGTTTCGTGGCAGATAGAAATGGGGGTCAGCTAACTACAGAAACTCCGTATGCAGCCACGATCTTGTCTTACATTGAAAAGATGGTAGTGGAGCTGTTACTCTAGGCAAGACGTAGAGCACCACATCGACGCTGGAGTCAGAATATAATGAAAACAATCTGAGTTCTACTTTACCAAGTGCTTTACTGACTACGTTGCCTCCAATGCCCAGGATACAGATGTTGGACTTCGTGCACGTCAGCTGCAGACGCTTCACAGCATCTTCCGAAATATATGATAATTCTGAACCTTGATCGATCAGAAGCATAAGATGATGATGTGCAGCTGGAGCACGTACCTGGGCTACTGCTGTTAGCAACAAGATAGATGAGTGACTAGATGTTTGGTTAGACGATGTGATCCTTGTTGAGTTTGACTTGATGTTGACTCTGGGATGAGTATTACTAGATGTGGAGTTTCGACGATGAGTGTGTCTGATGACTGCGCTGATTTCCTATTCTGGATGTTGAGTCGGCTGAGACGCCAACCTGCTGATCGGTTGCAACAACCGAGCGCCGTGAATCATGGTATGGTGAGCCTTACCACAGGTTTGGCACCTCTTCGTGTCCATACACTTAGCAGCAGCATGGCGGCCCAAACAGTTGAAGCACAAAGGCTTTTCATCCACGAACTGGTATCGTTGGTCAATGGAGAGGGCCGCGAATGCCGGACAGCAAGCAATAAAGTGTTGCTGGTTGCAGTAGGTGCACAAGAACACTGGAGGAGCCGATCTATCATCCTGCGACCGAGCCGAACTCCCAACCCGATTCTGCCAAGCGTTGCTGCCCGGTTGAATGTTGCCGAGCGGTTGAGTTTGACCTGTATGAGCGTGCTGAGCTTTGCTCGGTTTTGATTGAGTCTTACTAAATGTGGATGAGTTATCTTGTCTCTTCCGTCGCGCACTGCCACCGGATCACTCCCCAATCACCCCGATCCGGCTCGAAGGACCACAAATGTTCGAGGCGTATGCGTTAGCACACACTAGACTCGAATAGGGTGATTGGGAAGACACAATAAAACACAATAAAATTAAACAGCATAAAAATAACGACGTTTAATATTACTCAAAGGCCAAGAAAAATCACAGTTAATATTCACAAAAATAGTAAAGGTTAATTAATACAGGAAAAAAGAAATAATGTCTATAGTCTTAAAGCAATGAACTATCGAAATATATAAAAGCGAAGAATGTAGAAAGAAAAGAGTCAAGTTGAATAACCCAATATGTAAACACGCACTGGCCTTGAGCTCGCAAGAGAGTTTGAAAGTTACACGAATAAATGTGAAAATGAAAGCACTGATATAATATAACTGATTGAAATCTTGATTAACTAAAAACGACTGTCTGTAGAAATACACAATTACTGTCTGTAGAAATACACAAGAGTTTCACTGAGTCTTGCTGTTGATAATCACTGGTAGTTCGATGAGATTAACTATTTGAGCTGGTCTGCAGATAATGCAGTAAGCAACTTAAACAAAGCACTAAGTGCACTGCACTGCACAACTGAGTTTTGTCCACTGTATTGAGAGAGCTAATCAAAAGATTTACACTAGCATTTAAGGTGATGTATGCACCTTTGAATGCTAGAGTTTGGCAACGTAAATTGAGAGAGTCTATCTTCGACGAGAGCTGAGTATAATCTGGCGCTTACAGTATACAAAGCTCGCCGCGTGAATACGCACACACACACCTGCAGCGCGCCAAGTCGACCAAGCGCACACGCACAGAGCGTTGAGCCGACAGAGACTACAAGTGTACACAATGTACACAAAAGCCGGGCCTACTGTC